CTGAACTTTGTGTGTTATTTTAAGTTTGATTGTTTCTTTGCTTGTTTTTCAGAAGGCATTTTATGATGGCATGCGAGAGCACTAGAAAGGGATAGCTGACAAAGAAAAAATTAAAAATTGGATAAAAAGTAAATGAATAATGTCATATTACTAAAAAGATGAGAGGCTAATTTGTGCCGACTTTTTGCTAATTTTGTTCAAGCTTCAAAATGAGGAGCTGTCACCGTTCTGTGTCGCGCTGATGACAGTGCCAATGATCCATGAAATAAGCTGCCGCTGGCTTTGTTCTGATAAGAATGAACAAATCTGCACAGTGTTCGGCTCCCAGAATCTCATTTTCATACTTGCATGCAGGCTAAAAGAAATAAGCTGTTTGCAGGCTTGATTAATCAGACATTGGAGGGTTTTTTGTCTCTTTGATCTCTTTCGTCTCCTAGGTAACTTGCTTGACATTAATGTTGAGCTTGAGTAAAGACAATCAGGAATTGTCGACCAAACTGATATAAAAATTAAAGACCTTAACACTTTAAGTACTCCAGTAATGGTTCTGCTTTACTTCAGAAAACATCTGTTTTCATTTAATTAAAGAACAAAAGAGAATGGCATAAATATTTTTCATCGAGACCTATTATTCTATAAAAAGTTAAAGTATGATAATTGGTATTTTTAAATAAGTGCCTTGAAAGTGTTCAAAAGGGAGGAAAACTTCATGACTCTGTTACATACTAGCAATTTTGAGATGACTGAAATATTCTATGAAATGGGTAAGCAGTTTATAGTTGTGCTAGATTAAGCTGTTGGAATCAGATGCTTCAAATGATTATCAGGAAACTTTATGACAACATTTGCAAGAGGTATTAACTTTATTTTGAAGTTTTTTTTTTTTAATCTGCACTGTGTTTATAAGACTGTGCCATTATATCTATTTTATGACCCAATATGATTTACACACACTGAACCTGTAAAATTGAAAGGAATTTTAAAAAAAACATTGTGGTGCATTTGCTTGAGGTTGTGCAGACGCTTTTACAAATCTTCCAAGTGGCTGTAAAGATGAATGCCTCAAGGGTCCAGCCAGGGCTCTGCTTTTCCAACCAGCTAAAGCCCTTATCTTAAATCCAAGCAAAGTACCATTAATCTTTTTGAAAGACCTTTTATGGCTTTTAATATATCCCAAATTAGAACATTTTACACCCTTGGTTCCTGAAATATGGTGATAAAAAGCCTTTAGAGCTTAATTTTCCTTACCGCATGCTCTGACCAATTTGCAGTTCTTTGTGATAATGTTTAGACACCTTAATTAAAATGCAGCAAAATATTGGATGTTCTATATGGAAAATGCTGATACTTTGGCTACACATACAAGAAATTATGTATGTATTTTTAGTCATTAAAAAAGTCTTACGTTGTGTTATTATAGTTATCTGATGACCCCAAACTGTTTATTTATTTATTTTTATTCAGTGTAATAGCTATTGACCAAGCTTTTGACCAGGAAGATACATTTTTTTTTTCCTTTTATAGAAGTGAAAGATTGATTCTTGTTCACCTGTTTTATTTGTTTGTCATAGAGAAGTACAGCACAATATTCTTTTATAATCTGAAACTCGGGTTTGTCATCTTGACTGAAAAAATAAGTTTCTTCTTGACTGTCTCTTCATTGAAAGCCTTTTTATCCATAATTTTGTGTTTCCATATATCTTTTTGTTACATTTCTTTTTCTACAAAAATAAGTGGAGAAAGAAAGAAATTCATTGAAGAATGCGAAGGTGAAAAACTGTGGATTTTCACCAACATTACAATCCAAAGTCTTTTCTATAAAAACAAAAAATGAACACGCAGTACATAGAGCAGCCTTGTTTTACTGTTTATTGGTTGAATGAAGAACATCCCCTTTAACCTGGTCATAGCCTTAAGTAGGTAGAACATATATCCTTATAGGAGCATTACCAAAAAGTGCTCCTAGGAATCTGCTAGTGTGTTCACATAGTTCACAGACTGATGGAGCCCATTGTGCACTGCAAGGGCTTCTTTAACGTTTTCACTCTGCTCTGATTGTACTAACTTTACCATGATGCTGGTGGTTCTGGGCTCGGCTTTGGTTTTAGCTTTGCAGGAACACTGGAAGCATTTCCATTTGGCTGTGGTCAGATGTAGAGTCATGGGAGCCCTGTGGCTTGTGTGTCTTCTATCTGGGGAACCTAGCCTAGGAACGTCAGTAAGTTAACAGTGAAGGACTGTGACTTGTTAACAGCAGTTTGTGATAATGGTGTATAGCAAATCTGGTTTGAATCATTGGCTTCTTCACTAAGGTTGCTTCTGAGTTTAGATAATAGAGAGGCTGAGAGGTAAATGGAGCTCCGACACGGGGGGCTGGTCAACTGTATCATGTCAGCGCATTCCTTGCTTTGTTGTTGAAGTACCAACTGCTAACTGATTACACCGCGAGCATCTTACTTGGTTCGTAATGCAAGGGGTGGAGTACTCATACCCGGGGAGTGGGAGAGGAAGGAGCTTAAGTCATCCCCAAGTTGTTGGCATCTCACTGAGCATCTTAAATAGTCACAAGCTGCTTCTTGAGACAGCACACAACTTCTTAGGTTCACTTAGTGCTCCCCAGGTGTCCACTCTACTCCCATACTTCCAAATCTCCTTGCATTTAGCTGGAGTTCTGTGATTAACTCTGATCAGAAACAGTATCTGTGTTACTTTATGAGCGAGGAAGAGGCTCTCCAGTTCTGCCTCATGCTGGTACCACAAGATGTATGGGGCCCTGCCTGTCCTCAGAGACTTAAGAGAAACAAGAAAAAGTTAGGCCATTGATATTTGGAGATTCGCTTGACACTGTGCTAACCTAAGCAGCAGGTGATAACTTTTTTTTTTTTTTTTTTTGTCCTGTATGACAAGTACATAGATTTTCAGTGAACGGGAATCCATCTTAAGAGGTACCACTGAGCCTTCTCTGAGTTTGCTTTTCTCCTTAGATGTAGTGGTGCCCAGCCTCATCATTAGACTTTAGCATTTCTTTTTCCTGTCTCTCTCCCTCTCTCTGTGTGTTCAGTCCTTACTTGAATGTCAGTCCTCACTTTCCATCTTGTCTGAGACAGGATTTCTTGTATCATGGCCACCTTATGCTGCCCTGCCATGCCCTGCCCTGCTGCTTCTAGGGATTGTTCTGCCTCTGCCTCCCATATTCTCCATAGGAACACTGGAGCTACAGATGCATTTGCTACCATGTCCATCTTTATGTGGGGTCCAGGGATTCAAACTCAAGTCCTCACATTTGTATTGTTTTAGCTGTGGAGCCATCTTCCACCTAGTTGTTAGCATTTTGGGGGTGGTGGGGGATTAACTTAGGTGAACTTTTCTGTGATAAAGAACTGGAAAAGAAGAGGGTTACGAGAACAAAGCCAGCATGGAGGCAGCCATATTTCTTTCTCACCCATTGTATGAAATGATTCCCTATATGGATGGCTTAGTGCTGTCTCCAGTGGCTGGCAGAAGCAAGCATCTGCAAATGTTCCAGTGCATTTGTGCTGCTAGCATTGGTTTGTATTTCGAGAAGATCCTGAGGTTGCTCTGCTTTCTCAAGTGAATTTTTAGATCCTTTTTGGTTCTTCCTGTGGTTTTACTGCTCTTAACCACGTCAGCACCTTGCTTTGGTTGTTGCCTTCTTCTCCCGATGTGTACATGTGTGAGTACATGAACTCACATGAATTCCTGAACTGAAAAACCAGGTCTGTTTTTCTCAGATGTATTGATTACGTTATCTTGCTGTGGAGGTGTTGGTCAAGCTCAGCTGAGAGACGCTTTGCAGACGTCACCTTCCTAAGCTGACTTCTTGTACATAGCCCTTCAGTCCCTGCTGTGCTGAGCTCTAAAACTCAGATTCTGATGGGCTAATTTGAGTGGCTGCCTGTTTCCTCTCTTCCATGAGTCTGCCTGTCTTCTAATACGTGTTTAGTTGAATGAAAGAATAGAAAAGCCAAGAAAAATCAGAAAGATTGAAAGCTTTTGTTGATTTAGAGCTTTCTTTGTTTTGAGATGGAGTGTGGCTATACAGCCCTTAAGGGCCTGTGCTCATCCTGCAGGATAACTTCGCCTCATGGGGTAGCATCCCTTTGCTAGGACTCCAGATGTGGTCCCATCATACAAGCTGGCTTCACCCCAGTTTTTAATGGATCTGAATCACACATGAATGGACAGTTTACATTAAACTCATGGACCAGTGTTGCTGCACTACGGATGCTTCCTAGGAAATGTTTTGCAACCTGGTAAATGCTAGAGAAATGCAGAAACAAGGGCTTCCAGGCTGAGCTAGAGGTTTGGGTTGGGGTTCATGTGAAATCAATCTTGTAGGCCAGTAGTTACCAGTAAGGGAAGCACGAACAGAGAACAGCTGGGTCCTGGAGTCCAGCTTCTTTACTTTCTGACTCCTTTTTCATTCCTTTCTCTCTCAGAGACTTAAAAGCTGTTGCCCATCATGCAGAGTGCATTTATGAAGTAGTAATTAGCTTCCCCATGTTTCATTAATCCTGTCTGTGACTGCCAATCAGAGCTTCTGATGAGCACAAGATAACTGGTGTGACCATACTGAGTTGCTGTAATTCTAGCCCAGAGCAAAGAAAGTTGATGTCTCTGTCAGTCCGTGTGCAGCCTTATCAGGGCAAATTCCTGTTCAGCCTACAGAATTGCTGAGATAGCTTGAAGGGCTTCCTTGCTACCTTTGTGGACCCTCAAAAGGTCTGAGTTTGGGAAGGATTTCTGTCCAGGAGACGGTGCAAGTGGGGTGCAGGATCTGTGGGTAGTGGAGGGAAAAAGAGCCGTATCTGTGTGTTTGTTATGCTTGATTCAGGGGCCTGAGGATAGGGTTTCTTAGTTTTAGACGTGTTCTGAACCATGTGCTTGCTCCCAATTTTTTATACTATTATGATTCTTGCGCTAGCTAGAATATCTCTTTTCACATTTTTTTTTTTTCTTTTTTCTTCCATAATTCTTAGCTCGGTGTAAAAGTTGCCAAAGCAATTGCGTGCCACAAGTTTGTTAAAGCCAAAAAGGAGGCTGAAAACTCACAGGCTGCTCGAAAAAAGAAGAAGCTGGCATGGGGGTGAGTTCACTTGAGACCTCTGTCCTGGGTCCTGGGATGGGAGAGATGGCTCAGCACTAAGAAGACCAGGTTCAGTTCCAAGCACACACATGGTGGCGCACCACTGTGCAGTTTCAGAGGATTCAGTACCCTCTTCTGGTTTCTGTGGGGCCTAGGCATTCATATTGTAAACAGATGTACCTGTAGGCAAGATAACCAGACACATAAAATAACAATAATTTTTAAAAACTGAAAAAAAAAAGTCATGATTCTGTTGACTTGGTAAGAATTATAGTCTATTCATCCATTGAATCCAGTTTGTAGGCCACTTAATCTAATGTGTTAAGTCTTGGTGAAATGTTTGTAAGGTCATAACTATGGAGGCATTTCCTCAGCCTGTGGTGTTTGTGAAAGTTTCAGCACTTTGGCCACTCATTAAATTGTTATTTTAGTAGAATATTTTATTCTAGAAATAAATTGAGACTTTTTTGCTCTTTATTTTAGGTTTGAAGCAAAGAAGAGATGGGAAACCAAAAGCAACATGGGATATATGTAATCTTGCAGAGTTCTTCAGGACATTTATTTATAGACTATCATGCTTCATTTGACAAAAAGATTTTTCCACTTAGGTTAAATGTGTCAGGAAATTGATAAAGATAGAAAAAGATAAGCGTAAAACTTGGGAGCTGATTATAAACTCTTTTCAGTCTTTTTTCTAAGAAGTTTGTGAAGGAAATGAACATTTTTATATTTGTGTAAGAATTTTTAAGCATATGTACAAGAAAAAAAGGATAGAATTTTATTTATTTGTGTAAGCATACAGTTTAAAATCAATTTTGTGTTTGAGCTGTTGGTCTAGCATATCCTGTGAGGTCCTTCGACTTCCTTATCTGTTCTTAGCATGACTGCACTTTTTCTAGAATTGTGTTTTTACGAATGGCTTTTGTTTATAATGGATTAGTCATAAATAGAAAAATTCTCAATTGTTACTGACTTTACAAATGGCTTTTAACTATTTAATTCTGTAAAAAAATAATTATTGGTTATTTTGGAGGAAGAATTAATATTTCATAGTCATGTAGTAAAAGCAATTGATTAATGTCAGTAGAAATAATTATAGTAAAAAGTAGACACATTATAGTATCTAGAGAATGATTTAAATTCAGTTTTGCCTAGAAAATGCCTTTCTAAATATCTGTCAACCATGTCATTCTTTGAATTATGATTGTTCTTTGAAAAGGAAATGGTCTGATTGTGCTAGACACAGCTATAACTTAAGATAACATAACTTTGGATTGTCTAAGAGCTCATTTGTTTTTACCCCTTCTCCCTGCTACTCCTTAAAAGATAGAATTAATGAGACTAAAGAGAGAACTGATTCCGGTGAAATCATTGTCCTTTGGTATGTGTTTTACAGTCCTATTGGGTAGAGGCTTTGAAAAGTCACTTGATAACCAGCAAGACCATATGTGGATACTGTGAAAAATGAGTCATGATTATAATTGAATATTTTAGACTTAAAATAGTAACAATTTTATTAACTTATGGTGATATGTAAATTTTCTCTATATGAAAAACAAGTGAAGAGTCCAACTATCAATGTTACCTTTATTTAGTTTAGAAACACTGGTATACAAACACAGGATCCAGGCTATCCACTGACATGTCTTCATGAATAGGTACCTACCTTCGGGGATGTCCTGAGTACTGTTTATTTACAGAACCTACTTTATGCATGGTATGCTAATCATACTGTTTAACATACATGTTTGTGTAACAGAATAGGAATATTTTTTCCATTCACTATACATTTCCCAGATTTTATCTAAAACAAGATGTATTATCTTTGAGAAAGTTTCTAGTATGGATATTTTCTTATGTAAGGCCCTGGAACATGCCTCTGCCTTAATTTTCTGTTTCCTTACATTCAGTTTTGTGGGTCTAGTGACTTCTGACAGCACATTTTCTATGTCAGGCCCCATTCTGAGCTTTTATGTCAGTGGGGCCATTTTAACTGAGTAGAGAACAGCCATATGGGAGGGTGGTCAGACAGAGAAGTCACATCTCCCAACTGCCTGCTCTTGTGGACATGGAAAGTTTTGAAGTATACTGGTGTGGCCAGAAAGTAAGGAGGAAGGATTGCATGAGGAAGGGCGATGGCTTTTGTGTCTATCTGGGGTCATACTTGGTATTTTATTTGGGATGACAGTTTGGATACCTTATTCTTTAGAACAATAAAATGGTAGCATTATTCCTGGGCCATCAGTGGTGCCCACAGGGTGTAGTCATTGTCCTTCCTATTCTGGCCACAGTGAAATAAGGGTTCTTTGTGAATCAGTGATAACTTTGGTCCCTGAAGCTTCAACTTGTGCATTTGCTTCTTCCAGAACACTTGAATTTGATTAGTGATGTGATTTTCAGTTACTCTTGAGTGAGATTAATATGTTTGAGGCCATTGGTATAGCGTTAGTTACATGATTTACTGTCTGAGTACTTGAGGCCAGCACAGCTTACTGAAGAACAGTAATTTTGAGCTTTACTGTGTTGGTTTTGAAAGTAAGGTTGGTAGTGCATTCTTGTTTAGGAGCCCTCAGGATGTTTCTGATTTCAGCAGAACATTCTATTTCTTTCACCAAAAGGAGAGTTTAAATATGCAATCTCAAGCTTGCTATAATTAGTTCTGATGACAGTTAAATACCTCAGCCAAGACTGTAAATCAGCAGTTAAATTCTGACTTCTGCCGTTGATCATAAATCTCAAGCATGGTGTTATAAACACTTATTTTTGGGGACAGGCCTCAGACAGAAGCAAAATGCCATTTGCATGTTAGGTGACATCTGTAAACCTCACACTTTAAATCTGATACTGTGTCCACACCTTTTGGCTAAGCTGTCTTTGCAGTACTTTAGCAAGTGATGAGAACTTTGAGTCCTTGTGTGTGCGTGTGCGGTGTGTGCTGCTGCATGCCTTGGGCATTCTTCTCTAGCACTTATTTGAGATGGGCTTTCTCACTGAACATGGAATGATGCTGGAGTGTGTCCAGCCTTGCTCTTGGCTCTGTACCCCAGCACTGGGCTCAGGCTTGCACACTGCCATGCCTGGCTTTTTACATGGGTTTTGGCGATTCAAGCTCAGTTCCTCCTGCTTGTGCAGCAAGTGCTGTTGCTGTTACCCACTGAGTCGTCCCCAGCCCAAGAAGTTAAAATTCTTAAAATGTGAATGTATTACTCTGAAAATGTCTACGTTCACCTTGTCAGGGAAAGACTGATGCTGTGCTTTTGGAAATGTATATCTTAAAAACTAAATATATTATACAAGGCAATAACGATGTTGTGTTGGGTCTCATTTTGAAGCATGGTCATCAAATTCAGAACCAACTCGATTTTTTTTTGTGTTGTAGAAGGTGCCTGTAGCTTTAGTCTGTCTTTGCATGTCAGTTTACTATTTCTTAAAGCTGACTGTTTATTTATTGGCTTAAAATTTATGCTCTTCCAAAGTCTTCGCTCTGACTGATTAACTAGATAGCAGTCTTTGCATATAATGTTGACATGAAAATCTTTTCCAGAAGCAAATGTAGACTGGGGTTTGTAGCACCAGTGCCTCCTAACCCGGTAGCAGGCCTGAAAGTGCCTCGAAAAGCTGGGGCTTCACAGACTCGGGCGGCAAGCACGTCTTATGTGCTTTTCCACACACGCTGTGTACATAGGTGTGATATGCATTTGTTTGTGTATGTGTTCATGTTCAGGCCAGCTCATCAGCTTATCTGTCTCTCCCTCCTAACTGCTAGGATTCCAGAAGGCCACCATGGCTGCCCAACTTCTGCATGCATTCTGGGGGTCTGAATTCTAGGCCTCTTGACTTGCCGCACTAAGCTATCTCCTCAGGCCACTTGATGTACTTTTATTATGAATTAGTTAGAACATGTCTTTAGTTTTCAAACTTAACTTTATCCTAGCAAGCACAGTATGCGCTTAAGTTTCAGTGACATATTGAGGCATTTTATTAATATATGTGTGTACTCAAAAAAATTTAGTGGTTTAAAGAATATTTTTGTTCTTTTTCAGTTTCATTTGTATATACAGTGTATCTTGATCATACCTACCCCGTCTACTGCTCGCATTCCCCAACATGTCCTCCTCACCTTGAGGTACTTAAAAGTCATGATGTTGACAGCCTACTGAGTCTTAGTGCTGCCTACATCCAAAGGAATGTGAGTACTTCTTTGGTAACCTATGAGTGATCACTACTCCAAAGAAATATCCTCATCCAATAGCCATCACTGCAAATAGCTCTTCAGCTAGGGGTGGAGTCTCATGAATTCCTTCCCATCTGTATTGAAATGGCATGATCTTGCACAGCCTTCTGATTTCATATGTGTGGTAGCCTTCAAGCCTAAAAGACAGCATGCTACAGCACTCCTCCCCATCTCCTGGCTCCCTCTTCTATGGTGTTCATTGAGCTTTGCTCATATATGTTCCTGACCTTTATAAGATACTAAAGTAAGCAACTGTTTTCCACCTTGGCAATTGAGTATTCTGTAGGTTTAATAAATATGCAGAGCTACATTCTTTAGTCTGTATTATGTCCTCTCCATACTGGCCTTGGTATTGTGGCTGTAATCAGCAGAATGACTGGAAGAAATCCTTGACCCCAGCGAAGAACAAGCCAGTGTGTGGGTTGTGATGACCATTGAGGAACTTAGGAGCCACTGCCCTTTGCTCTGGGGCTGGGATGGAATATAGTACCTCTTCAACGCCTCTTCCTTTGCTCACTAGTGAGTGTTCTGCAGGTGGTTGTTGCTAGGGTGTCCTCAGCCTTATCAGTGGCCTCTCAGGACCTTCTTTGCTAGCCTTGGTAAATCTGATCTCTGGTAGGACAGTTTATGAATGCCACAAAGTACATTGTTTTTAGATCTGCTTGCAAAAATAAGAATTAAGTGAGACATAATTACATTTTATTGGTATTATTAGTAATCCATTTTTAAACTGGAGAAAAAGCAATACAATTTTCCAAGTGAGATAGCATTTTTAACCATTAGGTATTTAGTATATGTCTGTAACATTCAGATCCGACTTCTTAGGGTAATAAAATTCAGGGATGAACAGGGAGCAGCGGGGGTGGGGAGCCTCGGCTGCAATGCTTCCACTCCCAAATGCTTCTGTGCCAGGTTTCTCCCTAGGTCTGTTCACTTCCTGTGTCTAGTACCACTTGAGCAATCGCTACCTGTCACTTCCTGAGTTTGTGGGCTGCCTCTTGTTAAATTGCTTTAAGGGGCTTGCTCAGCTACAGGTATGAGGATGGAATGAGGTAATCCTTTCCCACCTCTCATTTCTAAAGGGTGTGTCTGTCCAGTTATTACTTGTTCATTGAACCTGGAGCTTTAGAAACCAACTACAGTACAAGCTGTAATTATTGATGTCTGTTTCATTTTCATCTGTAAGCTCTGGCATTTGATCAAGAAGTTAATATATCACTTTATCTTCAGGCTAAATGTCTCAGCTCTCGAGGTTTTATTATTTTGATGGATAGCATACAATTATGACTGCCCAGAAAAAAAAAAAGTATATTTGTAAAGTGGATGATACTAGAAGTAATTATGAATGTCACAGGGAGTGGTGAAACAATGAAACTTTGAATTTCTTTGAATTCAATTCCTACCCTAGTAATATCTGAGAAACATTTCTTGAACACCTCTCCCTTGGTTCTGAAGTGGTTCTGCTGCATGCGAAGTTGAATCAATGCAATCTAATAGAAAATACTGTAGACTAAATCTTGGCTTAGCATTTACATAGTTTTTATTGACTCTGTGGCCCTGCTGAACATACAGAAATAATCCACATGTGTTAAGTAACCTAGGCCTACAGATTGTAGTTATTGGTTGTCTGTTACATGTCCTTGTTCCTAGCTGGCCTAGTGGCTGTAGTTGCTGTCTAGCTTACTGACTGATATTCTAGTGCTGATGGAGACCACTCTTGATGACCACTGTTGATGCCCTTACACTCCCAGCTCCTGTGCTTACTTGTAAGGTCAGCATTGGTGGTATAGAACTGAGGAATAAACGTACTGCTTGGAACATCTCTTCATTGTTTTAAGCTGAATTTCTCCTTGATGAGTCGGCGTGTTCCCTAGATTAGAAAGGCTGTCTCAGTGCCTGTCCATGTTAGGCATTGTCATGACTGTGTCATTGAAATAACAGTAACCCAAGAACAATAGGAGTTGGTTTCTTGTTTGCCTGAGGGACAAAGGCTGATTCTGCAACCCGGAGCCTCTGCTGCATGCTATCACTGAAAGATCTAGGCTACCAGTAACTTTCCACCTGTGCTTAGGAAACCTAACTATTACTACTGTAATCACCTGTAAGTTACAGATCTGCTCATTCTCTTTTGGCTATAACTTTATTACTGTACCACACATAATAGCAAGGGAGGTTGGGAAGTACAGACTGCTGTTTCCAGGAAGGAGAGGAAATCAACTTTAATAAGTGGCTGGCAGCATCTGCTGCATTGCCTCATTCACACATGATCATGCTGTGGTGATGGTAAGCTTTGCTGACATGAAACAGACTGCTCTTTGTTATTTAGTCCCTTTCACATGGATGTGTTGTCAAAGCTGAGTTAAGCAGCCACTTGTGACAGTGTAGTGTGTGTTGGAAGGGTAGAGCAAATGCTGAAGGGCATCAGCGTGCTCAGTGAGGCAGAGGCAGGTGAGGGTCATGACAGACTGTTGGGGTTGCACCAGGAGGACATTTGAAGAAAGAACGTGGCAGGCAGAAGGAGCAGAAAAAGCACTTGAGCAACAAGAGACTTAGCATGGGCTGGAAAAATGGCTCAGAAGTTAAGAAGCTTGCTGTTCTTCCAAAGGTCCTGAGTTCAAGTCCCAGCAACTACATGGTGGCTCATAACTATCTATAATGAGATCTGATGCCCTCTTCTGGCCTGCAGAACAGTGTACAAATAATACAAATAAAATAAATAAATAAATAAATTTATTTATAAATAAATAAATATAAATATAAATAAATAAAATCTTTTTTTTTTTTTTTTTTCTTCAGAGAGACTTAGCACAGAGGAAGATGAACAGGGAGGCCATGAAGCTGCAGAGTTGGCCTAAACCAGCTTCGTGCTGTTTCAATGATTCAGGGAGTTTGGATTAATACCTGGTTGGAATGAGTTTTTTTCTAAGGATCCTGATGTGTGACAAGGAAGGTAGAAAGACAGTAGGCTTATGTCAAAGGAATGTCAGTTATAATTTCGACCTGCTACATCAAGGTTCCTAAGGAACATGCTAGAAATGTCAAGTGGACAGCTACAGAGACATGGTAGTCAGAAAAGGTTTTTGCAGAAGACAGGTTGAGAGGTTTTTTTAAAGGTGACATGTCATTCAGATGTCACTGAGCTTTCTAGCAAGAGGACAGCAGGTAGGTGGCTGTTGTTTACATGAGCTGGCGGGGAGTTATGGTCACAAGAAACCTTAAGCTGTGTGGACGTGCATGGTGCCTTAGGCTGGTTTCTTCAGAACGGTGTCTGAAGTCTCTCCTGAAAGTGATGTAGACAGGTATGTACTTGAAAAGTCTAAAGAGAATAATGCAGAGCTGACAAGATTGAAGTGGCTGAACAGAGCAACTCTGGTACTCAGAGCCAGACTCCACGTGAATCCCACACACATGACTTCACATTAAAGTCCAATGGTCTGTGCCTAGGGAAAGGTCTAGAGATCTCAGTGAAGGACAGTTCTCTGGGGGCTGGTAAACTTAGCAAGCAGGACAGCATGGGAAATGTGCTCACTGAGGTAGCTGTCTGGTATGTACTCTGGAGAGGGAAACACTTGTGTGCAGCAAGCACTCGGAGAAGCCGTCCTGGACGGTGGTCGGTGGCATCTGCCATGGGAGAGCTGCATAGACAAAGCTTGGTGCAGTGGTGAACTTGAAATCAAGGGTTTAGTTGATGCTCAGTCTACCTGGCAGTTAGGATTGATGAGGGATAGCTACACTGGGCTACATGGAAGCCTGCTGGGTCTGAAACTAAAGTGTGACTTGACTCAAAATACATGAAACTGGGTCTCATCCTAAATACCCTTGGTCCTCTAGATTTTCCTTGGCATTTATAATGGTGCTCACATCCTCAGACCTCAATCCAGACAGACCCACAAATCAATCACTTCATTGCCATGTCATTTTTTAGCCTGGAGAATCTGCATTGTAGAAGCAGCAGGTTAGCAGCCCTGCATACAGAGCCTTTGTGCTATCCTTCTGAGGAAACACCTTGTTCTGGAGCTGAGGAAGTTGACGTATTAAGAGGATTAAGAGCTCTAAGACAATATAACTAC